TGCAGGGCACCATGAGGGGGTTATGAGGGTCCTCTGCTTTCACACATGGCCTTTGAGGAGCTCTGAGGGAGCACATGTGGTCACTTGTCACAGCTCCCCTGGGTACAGAGGCTGTCACACTGAGGGGCTTGATGAACAGTTGGCGTTTCTGCTCCCTGGAGATGGAGGCTCTGTCAGGAGCTGCAGGGATACGATGGGCTCTGCAGGGGCCAGGAGGCCACAGTGACTGGGATGCAGAGAGGTCTCCTGAGAAAGCTGTGCCCAGCCCATCAATAATTGCCTGGAGTGCTTTCCATGGCTGCCTGGGCCATGGGGACCCCCTGGACTCAACAGGCAGGTGCTGAGGCTGCAGGCCCAGGATCAGCTCTAGGTGCTCCTTGGAAGCTCTTGAGGTTTTTCTGTCTGAGTTTCTCTAGGCTCCATTTGGTTAAAGACTGGGAGCTGGGTATGGATCATACACTGGGAATAGAAACCAAGTTTTAGTATGGAATTTTGTTGCTGATTGCCTGTTTCTGTAGCATAGAATTCCCTAGAAGGCGTGTGCTACCAAAAAGTTTTGTTTATTCATGTGGGTTTCAATGTGTGTAAAAGCTGAGCTGTGAAGCAAGGACAAAACTGGGTTTGTGTGCTTTTTGGCTTCATGTCATATGTGAAAGTGGCCTGAGGGGGATTTACTCTCCCATCCCACCCTGGAAAGCATTTTAGGAGGGTTTTTTTTTGTTTGTTTGTTTGGAGTTTTTTTAATTTTTATTTACTCTTAGAAGCAAGAGTGATGATTCCTTCGGAAGAGTTACTGGAGCTCTCAGACTTGAAATAATGAGGTTTCTTGGCCATTCAGTAAAGGTACATTAAAGAGAAAATATCTTAAATATATATTTCTGGCCCAGAGTCTCCCAGGTGTTGGTATTAAATGGATATACACAAAGGCAAAGTAGCCAGAAAAGCTGTAAGCAAATCCACTGAACAGTGACTTCCCTCTTTTGTTAATCCGGTCTTGCTGGCCTAGCACACTGGCTGTCAGTCTTGCGAGTGCTTGATCTGACTCTGGAAAACAAGGGAAAAAAGGGAGTTAGTTATGCCAGACCTAAGTGCCTGCCAAAAGGGGGAAAACGCAGTGGCTTTTCAGAAAGAAAAGGATTTGGACCTTTCACAGGCCTTCATGCATTGGTGAGAAGCAAATCGTGCACAAACCCACTTTTGTGTTTTCCTTTGCAGGTCATTTTAAGAACACCTCTAAATACAGCCAAGGTTGATCTTGGGTTTGGGGTTGGCTCTTTCTCCACTCTGAAAGCAGCTGAGAGGTAACACCTGGCATTGACCGACATCAGAGCCTCTGCAAGGGCTGCTCTGGCCACGCTGAAGGGACGCGAGAAGCCTGGGCCCGCTGGCCGGGCACAGAGGCTCCTGCCTGCCTCTCTGCCAAATGGCTTCAAGGCAAGGTGGAGCTGCAGCAGCTTGGGAAGCACCTGTGCCTCTGGCAAAGGGTGTAGGAATTGCTCTACCTCAGAGTTGTCTTGAGGAGACTCAGAGTTATGTCCTCTGTTCATAGGGAATACGGTGCTTGAGAAGAGCAGGACATTTGGGCACAAGGACTCAGTGGTTCCTAGGCTCATGTGGTGGCTTGTGACCTTGATGGGCCCCTGTCATGGTGAAAGCATGGTTATGTGAAACAGTGCAATGAAGTCTAGTTGGCTTTTTAGCCTGGGCAGTTTTCTTACGCATTTGCAATATGACAGTAAACTCTAGAAACCCAGTTGAGATGGGAAGTGGTGCATACATGACTGTGTTCTTGTTCACTGGCAGGGTTTTGTCTGTCCTTGCAAGTCACTCTGCATGTGTTGGTCTATGGCATTGTGGAGCCCCACTGCAAGCAAGCTGTTGGTAGACCAGCAGTCCTTCTGCAGGATTCTGGCTTCATTAACATGCAGTGAAATTAGGAGTGTATACAGCATGTACTCCATGTGTGTCCACTTGTTGGACAGCTGGGTTTGGGTTCAGGGGGCAATGACCAGCTAGAGAAGTCAAAGGCCTGCAGCAAGCCTAAGGGCCCCAAGAATCTTGACAAGCAGATGCTGTTCCCCTGCATCTGAGGCAGTGGAACTGTGAGCAGCTTCAGCACGGGTGAAGATGACAGCCCTGCCTGTTTCCTGGGCCTCTTGTACCTCACTGCAACTGACTGAGCTACCAACTGCCTGCTGTCATTTTTTTCAGGGTGGGCCCAAGTCATCATTTCTCACTGCAGAGAAGAAGGCAAGGCTGAAAACGAACCCTGTGAAGGTGCGGTTTGCAGAGGAGGTGCTGGTGAACGGGCACTCACAGGTCAGTGGGGCAGCAGCAGGGGCACTGTGCCGGGAGGACCTGGGGGGCTCCTGTGGACAGATGCCAGGCCGCGCTCACCTGCTGGGGGGCTGCAAGCTCACTCTGCTGGTCTGCCCTGGATGTGTAACCAGGCATTTGGTCCCAACTTGTTCATAGGCTCGCTGCTGATGGGGGCACAGTGTTGGCATCTTCAGAGGGTTTTATCGTGGATTTCCTTACTTAGACTAACGGAAAATACACACATGTACAACTTTTGTCCTTTTACCATCAGGCAAACTTTAAACCAGCATTACACAGCTGGGATGGTAGTAGTAATCTCTTCAGGTGCTAACCTCTCCGTAGTAAACCTAGTCTCAAGTTTGGGTGTGACAAACCCTAAAGGTGAATGCTTCTGTGTATGCCAGGTGCCAAAGGAGCTGGGGTAACTTCCTGGCCTTCAACAGTGTTTTTCAGGTGGAATTGTGTTCAGAGAGTTTGGTACTGGTGACTTCGTTTTGCTGTTGAATTTGACATATGTTCACGTGCTGATAGTGTTTCCTATCCTCCAAAGTTTCCACAGAGCATTCAGAGCTGTCTCCATCACAAACCATTTCTAAGCTGAACCAATCCATTCTTACATAGAACAAGATAGTGGCTCACTGGAGGAATGCTGCAAAGTTATCACTGGGTTTCTAGCACTGGTAATGAATGAGCTGGGTGGATAGCAACCTGGTCTAGTGGGAGGTGTCCCTGCCTATGGCAGAGGGGCCAGAACTAGATGGTCTTTATGGTCCCTTCCAACCCAAACCATTTTATGATTCTGAGGCCACATCTGCAGTATTGTGTCCAGTTTTGAGCACCTCAATTCAGGAGAGATATTGAGGTGCTGGAGGAAGTACAGAGGAGGGCAATGAAGCTGGTGAAGATTCTAGAGAATAAATCTTATAAGGAACACTTGAAGGAGCTGGGAATGTTTAGTTTGAGGAAGAAGAGGCTGAGGGGGGAACTCATCAGTCTCTACAGCTACCTGAAATGACATTGTAGAGAGGTTGGTGCTGGTCTCTTCTCACAGGTAATTAGTGACAGTACAAGAGGGAAGGGCTTCAAGCTGTGACAGGGGAGGTTTAGACTGGACATTAGGAAGTATTTTTTCACAGAAAGAGTGGTTGGACACTGGAACAGGCTGCTCAGGGAGGTGGTTGAGTTACCATCCCTGGATGTGTTTAACGGTTGTTTGGATGTGGTGTTGGTGGATATGGTTTATGGGAGAACTTTGTAGAGTAGGGATGATGGTTGGACTAGGTGACCCCAAGGGTCTTTTCCAACCTGCACAGTTCTATGATTCTATTATATGGGTCTGCCTGTAGTAGAAAAGGACCAGCAGTGAGAACACTTGCAGCTTCCCTGAATAGCAAACAACTCTTAAATGTTTTCTTTTTCTTTATGTGTAACTTACTAAGCTCAATGTGGTTGGGATAGGCTGGCATCAGTTGGGAGTCTTTAACTATGCTGAGTTTTCCTTTTTCACTAAGGAATGAAAAGTTTCAGTAGTCCCACTCCTTTCTTTACTCATTAGTGCTGTTCAGTTGCTCAGATTTGACCAACTCTTGCTTCTTTGCACATTGCAGTGATTATGGGTCAGAAACTAGGCCCTTTTCTTCTCTCCTGGTCTGCCTTTTATCCCCCACCTCTGGCAGCAGGGAGCTCTCCCAACCCAGCCTTTTCCTCTTCTCCCCCTGCATCAGGGCAGAGGTGCAGCCAGAGGTGCCTTGGGCAGCAGCTGCCTGTCAGGCAGGCACAGTGTGAACACATTGGTACCTCTGCCTGACTCCAGGTCAGAACTTCTTCTCTGGCCAGCTCTTCAGAGCAGGAGAGGGTCAGACATGACTCCTGACATGTTTGCCAGTAAGTCACTTTAGACTCTGGGATCCTTTCCTTCTTTCCACATGTGCTGGAGCTGTTGCAAGGCTCTGCTCTGCCAAGGTCTGTTCTTTGTCTGATCCCTCAGATCTTAATGACAAGTCTGTCTGGGATCCTATCTGAGCATTACAGCAGCTGGGCCACCCTTTGTGACACAGAAGCCTGGTGCTGACCCCTCATGTGGTTGGGAGATGTGACACATAGGTCACAGAGCTCACAAAGCAGGGAATAGGGAAGAGGAGGATGTGCTCTGGAAGGCATACCAGACAGAGATGACTGAGAGGCCTTGGGCAAGGCTGGCTGTGGGATGCAGCCAGCCCTGAAAATGCTGGAAGTTTGTCACTAATGTCTGCATGGGAGCATCTATGGAGCTGTTTCAGAGGTTGAGCACTAGTGTTGCAGCACATGGAGGTCTTGGATCTGTGCCTTCCACTTACTGATTGCAGGGCAGATCTGAAGAAGGCACTGTCCCAGGAGATCCTCTACTCTGCACTTCCTTCCAGGCCTCCATCAATATTCTGCTGAGCTAAGTTAATCATAGCTCTGGAAGTGCAGAGCAGGGACACAAGTGATGTATAGTTTGCCATTCATTTAATGAAAACATAAAGGTAAGATAAATTTATATGAATGTTGAGGCCTCACTGGTGGTAGCTTCCCTTTTCACTAGTTGGATATGGTCCCTGTTTTGAACAGCAAAATATTAGCACAAAGTAAGCATAAATAAATTTGTTGCATATTTATGACTTCTTTCTGGAAAAGCACTGTTCACCGCAGGCAGCAGCCACTCTGCATGAGTGTTTTAGAACTGCTCTCCTTTCAGCAGACTGATGTATTGAGACAGCCAAAATGGGTATTATGGCCCTGAAAAACTGCAAAGTTTCCTGTTTCAGTAAATATACTGCTCTTGTCATCTTAATGGAGCATTGCTAAATTATCTTTGTGGTAACTGGAAGAAATCCAGAAGCTGCCTTCTGCATTTGAAATCTGAAACTCCTGTTTGGGAACATTAATTGTTAATTAGCCTCAATGCTATCCAGCCTCCATTTTCTGTTGCAAGCTTATGATGTATTTCCATATAACTGAATGATATGCAAGAGGCAGCCCCCCCAGGACGCTCAGGTCAGCATCAGTCAGTTTGTAACTTGAAACTGGGGGCCGAGCTATAACATGGAGTAAACCAACCTTGCACCAGACCAGACAGGAGGAGTGCAGCTGCTGAAGGCATAGCAGAAGTGTCCAGAGTTGATTAGTAGCCGTCTATTAGAGCCTGCACAAAAGGAGGGAAATCCCATCTGTGTGTTCTGGCCAGGTAATTGGATCTGACCAGAAGGGTGATGGTACCTAATTTGTAGATAAACTTCTATGTAGATTTCAAGCAGATTTCAAGTTCTGCTGTGTGCTTGCTGCACAAGGAGCTACCAGAGAAAATGTGCAGTTGTTGTAAACCAGCAGCACTTCCCTGGAATTGACAGAGGACCCAAAGCCTGCCAAAGATGTGATGTATTTGTGCTACTTAGCACCAAGGAGTTAGAGCCTAGGGTCAAGAATAGTGGCAATGTTCACTTATTTTTCCTCAGAGATGACTGTAGGTGGCTTGAACCCCACAAAATGGGGGGAAGGAATGAGGAACAAGATACAGAAGTGTTTTATGTTTGTGCTGGTGGTGCTCCCCAGGGTACATGGACTCTCTTATCACAAGACACCAAGGCTGTGACATTTGGAAGGTGTTACACAGCATGTAAAACGTAGGAGAGATCATTTTAGAAATGCCATTCTCAACTTTAAGACTGTTGTGAAAAGTAGATACTCTTTTATACTGGAGGAATGTGCTAGTCCAAGGAAATCCAAGGGTGGAGGAATATACCTCAGCACTGAGCAACAAGAAGAAAATGAGAAAGGAGATACAAATGAGCTCTACTGAAGGAAGGAGTCAGGTGGAAGGCTGAAAGGTGAAGCTCTAGGCAGCCTCAGAAAGGCAGAGGCCAAGTTCCCAGACCTTCTCAGAGCAGCTGTTGGAGGTGTTTTTGCTATGGGAGTCATTGCTTTGCCTAATGCATTTGAGACCTACTTCAAGAAGCTCTGAGGACAGCACCTCCTGTTTGGGAAGTTGCAAATCTTAGAGCAATGCTCAATCAAAGTACCACTGCAGGCTTAGCTGAATTCTGCAGAGCCTTCCTGTGGTGTGCAAGATCTGCTCTTGATTGCACAGAGGGTTTGGGTTGCTCTTGAATTGAAGTCATGGCTGTTGCCAGTGCAAATGGAGAAGCATAGGGATTAGTGGTGCTAGGTAATGAGAAGATGTCTTTTTTGTTAGCTCTTCTGGCAAGCTCTTTCAGTTCCTACCAGATGTTCCTGTGCCTTGTGGGAATCGAACAGTGGGAATATCTGGGCCATGCGCAGCTACTGCCCTGGCTGAAGTTTTATGGTAAAGGAATTTTTTGTGTTGTCTTTCCCTTGTTCTGTGCCAGAAGCAGAATCAGGGAATAAAGCTTGGTGTCACAGAAGACTGCAAAAGCAGAGAGAGGTTTTCATTAATAGTGGGATGTCCTGTGTCAGGCAGAGCAGCCTGGTGCCAGAAGGCTTAGCATCCAAGGATTAGTACTCTTGCTTTTGTTCTGCAGGGGAATTCTCTTCTTTGTATGCCCAACGTTCTCAAGGTGTACTTGGAAAATGGACAGACGAAGGCTTTCAGGTTTGAAGTGAACACTACTGTCAAGGTAATGGTGCTTGGTTTTTTGTCTTTCTTCCCACCACTTGAATTCAAGGCCATAGCGAAGGTTCACACAGGGGAAGTTGCAGCCGTTGGTTGTGTTGCCCAGCTAGTGGGAACTGGATTACCAGCTGATGCTGAGTGTTCTGGATTTTCCATGCACAGGAGGAGGTGTTGCTTTGGGTCACCTCTGTTTTCTTAGCAACCAGTTTCCACAGAACTTGCAGGAACTTGGCAATGAGACCACTGCAGCATTGTGAAGTGTGATTGAAGCTGGGCAGAAGGACAGGTTGTTGGGGGCCTAGCAAATCAGCATCTGTCCACACAAGTGTTGCTTTCATTGGAAACCACATGGCACAATACAGAGGAGGTTGTTTAATATAGCAGTGCCATTGTACCTCCCTAAGAGAGAGAACACGTCTCCTGGCTTGGGACCTGGACAATGGAGTCCAGATTTGGATAATCATGTAAACTCAGCAAGTGCAGTTGTGCCAGTTGTTCTTTAAAGTGCCTGTCGATGTTCCAGCCTCATTTCTGCACTGGTGAGAGTGTTTCCCTGGGAAGACACAAAATAGGATTAGCACCCTGAGATGGAAAAGCAGCAAAACCTCCCTAGGATCACAGGCGATTGGAGGCATTACAGATGAGTTACCATCATTCTCTTCAAAATACAAAGTGTTGCTCTCCAGAGACATCCATCCAGCATTTTCCTAACTGTGGAGTTTAGACATAGGCATCCAAACTTAAAGTTTTTCTAGCCTGAGCTTTAGGGTTTCTCAGTTGGAGTTGGAGTTAATAGGATTTGCCTGTGATTGGAGGCCATAATTTCTTTTAAGGATAGGTGATATCCTGCAGCAGTGCAGCTACCGTGGAAAAGATGTACAACGGATAGACATTCTGAAATGTCTGAAAGAATGTTCTGAAAGAATATTTAGAGGAAAAGCAAGGTGATATTATTTATAATGCACTGAAAACTTTCCTCAAAGAGGAGTTTATTGTCCAGTTCATCCAAACTTCACAAAACTGTTGTGGTATCTCATGCAACTAAGTCTCTGCAAGTATTACAACTTGCAGGGCAGAAAAAAATAAAATAATTAAGAAAAGAGATAGTAAGCAAAGGAGAGATGAGTTGTAAAGAGGGTTTTGAGTGCCCACCTTTTAATTTCTAGAAGATGGATTAGGTCTTCATGTTTGACTGGAGTTGCTCACCTCTGACTTGGAGCAAGTTTTTCTCTACTGGAATTGAGTGTAATCCTCACCAGTGTCCACACAGAAGCATCACATGGGTAAGATGGGTCCTTGGTCAGGAGTTTTTAAAGGTTCCTCTGCCATTTGAGGGATCTTTGCTTAAAACTGAGATGACTAAATAGTTAAGCTTGCCTCAAGAGTCTTGACTGAGTTGAAGGAGATATCTTTCAGTTTGTACTTAGTCAAGCCGTACATAAAGGGTTTTGTTTGCCAAAAATAAACCTAGTTATATTCAGGACACTTAGTATTCCAGCCAAATTCACCATACAACTGAAACACCTATTTCAGTCAAATTTGGTAAGATTTTTACAATTACACTTTGAAATTCTTGTTTATTGGTGGGGAGAAGAATTTTTCACCAGTTCCTTGTAGTTTCTTAAAGTAGAGTTCTAGAAAGCTGGAATGGCTAACAAGGAACAGAGTGACAGAGGTGCCCAACACCACCAAACTAAAAACTGCAAGGCCTTTCAGCATGAAGCACTCCAGGATGTGCAACTGGATTTGATGCCTGTTACACCTTGAAGTTTGCATCTTGCTGCACTCTTGCCACAGCAAGCTGCAGCTTCCCCACTTAGTCCTCCTGATCTGCTGAAATAAGTTGTCCTCCCTTTGTCTGTGCTTCTCCTGCAGTTACTTTGACTCATTTGTTGCCTCCTGACTGCCTGGCTGATATGTTCCTCTGTTGCTCAGACATCCAGCTGAGACAGCACAGCAGCTAACAGCCAAGCTTGTGTTTAGTGTCCCAAAGAGGTTGCCATCCCTCATGCCTCCACTTCTGATGAACTTGCAGGTTTTCTCTAACCCTGAGATCTCTATGATTTTTCTCAGTCAGCGTGTTCAGAAGCTGTCAGTGAAGAGGGAAAGGCAGAACATCACAGAGGCAACAGTTTCTTGTGAAACAGCCTCAATGTTTCACACTGTGTTGCAGCACCACGGATGCTCTGGGCTGCAGAGAATATTCTATCTTGCCACTGCCTTTTCAGTGCTGTCCCACATGGCTGCCAGTAGCAGCCTGGAATCACCCATGTTCATGCAGTGTCTAAGTTCTGTTTGGCTGTTTTTGTGCCTTCCCTCCCCAGGACATCGTCCTCACCCTGAAGGAGAAGCTCTCCATCCAGAGGATCGCACACTTTGCCCTGGCTCTGGAGGAGCAGTACAATGTGGCAAAGATCCACTTGCTGCATGAGGAGGAGCTCATTGAGCAGGTAAGGAGCCCCTGCCTGCAGCCATGCTGGGGAGGGGTACCACCACCCGCCAGTTGTGCCCAGCAAGGTGCAGGGAGGGCTCAGCTCTGCAGGTGTCCCACAGGTGGGTGAGCTTGGCCCCATCTCCAGAGGTGCTGTACTCTTCTCTCTGCCTGTTCTGTGTCAGCACTGCATCTCTCCATTCAGACAGCACAGAGCAACAACCACAGCCTGAGACTGCTAGGACCCTGCGGAGCAGTCAGGGAGGAGCTTTGTGCCATCTGTGAGACAGGCCCAGCTACAGGGGACTGCTTGAGACTCTTAAAATACCTGTGCACCCAGCTGCTTACAGGTCCCTAGGCAGTCAGAGACTTAACCCAGACAGTTGCCACTTGGATTAAATTCTAAATCAAAAGTCTGTGCCATGCAAACACAAGGTTATTTCTGTTAGTAACTCTGCTGCTCTGCTAATTCTGGGCCACTTTAGCTGCTGAGAATGTGCCGACCCAGGAGTCTCAGCTCTCTTCTGTGGATTTTATTGGATGGTGATTCATTGTGATGCAAAGAGGTTTGGTAGCTAATACTGTCCAGCCACTGAGCTTATGTCTGAGAATTTCTGCTTTGTTTCAGTTGGTAAGCCTGTAAAGGATTTGCCCAGAATAAAAATGCTAGTGTAAACCCCAGGGGTCTTAACATTGTACTGACATGATGATGAGGATGCAGTGTCTGTTTATGGCTGCTGTAGCTTATGGCTTAACTTAAAAGCAGAGAAGCTTGCCCCTTCCTCTCTCATTATCATATGACTGTCAAGCCCCAGTCCTGCTTATACTGCAAGTGTATTAGATCAATGGATATTTAATGAAATTTTGCTGTGAAAGAACTTCCAGGCTACCACAGGGAGAAGCAGAAACCAGAAAAAGAATAGGAGATTACAGATTACAAACACTAGCAATGTCTCCCTGTGTTTGCTGAGGACAGTGGTTAATTTGCAGTTGTCTGACTTGCTGATAGCTTTAAATTATTTCTGTGAGTTCATGCAAGCCAGAGGCTCACTGTTTTTATGAAGGGAGGAACTACAGCAGTGGTTGTGGTGTGTTGCTGTTTGTCTGTTGCAGGTGGTCCAAAAAAGAGAATCTCATGACTACCGGTGCCTCTTCAGAGTTTGCTTTGTCCCCAAGGATCCCTTAGACCTCCTGCAGGAAGACCCAGTTGCTTTCGAGTATCTCTACTTGCAGGTGACATTGGGGCATTCCATGCTGCCGAGTCTTGTCTCACCCAATTCTCATTTCTGCTTTAAACCAAAACATACTTCAGGCCAGTTCAGTTTTATGAATATGAAATGCACAGTAATTAAGAACATAGCAGTTGGATTCAATTTGCCTTAAGTTCTTGAATCAACGCATATGCTTGGCTTTTTAACAGAATGCGGTTGCAATGAACTGGGTGGCTCCCTTTATTTGTTGTACAGTAGTCATATCAGAGGTCTTATCCTGACTTCTGTATGTCCCATCATCAGGCTAACTCAGCTGTGTTTGTTCCAGAGCTGCAGTGATGTGCTTCAGGAAAGATTTGCTGTGGAAATGAAATGCAGTGTGGCATTACGTCTGGCTGCTCTGCATATACAGGAGAGGATCTATGCTTGTGCTCAGTCACAGAAAGTATCCTTGAAATACATTGAGTAAGTTCCCAGATTTCTGTGTTATGTTGTGACTGAACCTAGGAAAAGAGGAAGGCAACTAAAAGCAGCACCAGTTCTGTGTTTTCCCGGTGTTTAGCTCTGGGTAGAAGATTGTCTCTGACCCAAAAAGACCACATCCTCTTAGTTTTGCCAGTTGTTTTAGTGCAGGATGGTTTCATGAGTCTACCTGTCTTTAACCAGCTGAGCTGCTTGAATGATATGTACGGTAGAACATCTGGGCATATACCTAAGCAGAGGGAGGTTCCAATCTGTACCTGGAACAGGAACATGAAATGGCAAATGTCCCACATGATCATGGTTACCCAGGCTGCTCCTGCCAGCATACTAAGATTTATATGCTGCAGTTGAGAGGCTGATCACCGGCTTTGCACAGCCAGTACTTTACATCTCTTCATCCACCAGAACTGTATCAGATATACCTAATTTCATTATAAGTGTTAGGTCCTGTGAAGTAATGAAATCTAGAAAAAAATACCAAAAAATGTTTTCACAAGCAGAGGGGGTCTGTGCTGCATGTCAGTGCTGTTAGACCACACTTGCTTTAAAGAACATCCCTGCTCTAAGAGCTTGTGATGGGGCTAATCATTAAATAACAGACATTTTTGTGGTAACTGCACCATTGAGCCTCCACCAGCTCATGCAGGCACCACTGATGCCTAGCATTCCCAGCCAGGTGCAAGTACTGGAGAGTAAGGAGCAACTGCAGACAAGTGCAGGATTCTTAGTTCCTGGATACTTAATGCTTGAGCTGAATAAACTCTTCAGCAGAATATATGGGCCACACTTTGGGATCTGGGGAGCTGGAGATGTTGAAATGTAATAATCTTGTAACCAACATTAAGTGAATGTAAAGCCAGAGTCTTCATCCTCTGGGTGGAGAGGAGACGTTGGCACAGTTATATTGACTAAGCTTGTAGGCTGTCTCCTGTATAAGCAGGTAGACATTCTGCATGGGAGCTTGTGCTTCTGTCCCCACTCCTGACCCAACTGGGGTGAGGTGCAACCTGGCAGGAGCTATCCCGGCATGCTCCAGCAGCCCAAGACTTGGTGCACCGCAGACAGGAGGGGCCTGTGCCCTCCTTTGCCTTTGCCCAGCTGCCCCTTCTGCACACCCCTCTGCTGCTGGGAGACAGTGCAGCTGGGACCCCCTTTGCTCCCTTCCTTTGTTTCTGGCAGGAGGGACTGGGGAATCGAAAACTTCATCTCACCAACTTTGCTTCAAAACATGAGAGGGAAGGACATCAAGAAAGCCATCAGCTACCACATGAAGCGGAACCAGCTGCTTCTGGACCCTCGACAGAAGGTAGTGTGTCCCCTGGGTTCGAGGGACCTCCCAGGATGGTGGCAGGATCTCTATGGGCCAATGAGGCAGCATCTTTCCACCATTGGTCTCCTTTTTATGGGACTTGGGGAATTTCTCCTGTATTTTCCTCTTGCAATGTCCTCTGCTGTGTACACACCATAACTTCCCTACATTGTGTCTTCTGTTGAAGTTTGGTTGTGGGGTTGCCACATGACAAATGTGGCCATGTGGGATGGTCCTGATCAGATCTATGGCCTATCCAGACTAGGCTAGATGTGTTGGTCAGATACTGAGTCCTGTATGAAAAGAACATCCTGTCAAACCTGTTGTTGCGAGCCAATGCTGGGGGGCTACCAGCTGTCAGGATGCTTTCATGATTTCCATCGCGATGTGGAGGGGTTTTTGAATAAGACCAAGGGCTCACACATGGTGCTGCTTCTCACAGAGGAACAGCCACTGCGGGACCATATTCTAGAGTGGTAGTTGGAATGCACCCCCACCATGCTCACAAATTGCTAGTGAGACCAATGTTTAGTTTACGAATTAACCGGTTTATTAAGGGCTAACACATACTGTGGGATGAGGTTTAAGGGAAAATATTAAAATGGCAAATGGCTACCAGGGATATATGAGGGAAGTAATGTGTCCTTTATGGAGGTAATGCAAAAAGTGCTGTGCCCTTAAGGCGTTCTCTCCGAGAGAGGGTTGTGGATTAAAGGAGAGGGAGGGAGGAGTTGAGCCTGGGCAGGACAGCTAGAGAGAGAGAGAAAGAAAGAGAAGTGGAGGGTGGTTAGGGGGGGCGGCTTCCCGGTAAGAGGGGAGACCCCCCAGCAGCAGCAGGCGGACCGGGCAGGCCCCAGTCCCGAGGCAGAGTGGCAGGCAGGGCAGGCAGCTACAGCAGGATCACAAAATCCGTGGTTTGGGGGGCAGCCCCTTGTGGCTCGGCAGCGGCGGCAGCAAAACAGGGGGGACTCCGACCCTGGCCCCAACGGCTGCGGGAAGGACCTGGTTCTCCAGGGGTCAGAATCCCGGCCTGCTCAGCGTTGGGGCTCAGGCTCGATCCCCGGGGCAAGCAGGCTGGGCCGAGCCCCAGAACCAGGCTGCACAGCAGGGCTGTGTCCCATGCAGGAAAGTCCAGGCACACCTCGGTCCCACCTGCTGAATTTGCCACCTTTTTATACTGCCATGACCCACCTGTCCGGCCAGTGTCACTGTCCAGAGCCAGTTGACATCCATGAGTCCCAAGGTAGGGTGGTAACTAGCAGAGTAATGCATAACTTGTTGCCCATCCTCCTGCCTTGTACCACATCTGTTGTTTTGTTTTAATTTGTCCTTGAGCAGCAGACCTGTTTTTGGTCCATTAGCAGCGTATGATCAGCAGAAGGCCTTTGCTGGCTTATATTTAGACTCACGTGGGGAAGAAGAACCGTTTCCCACACCTGTCCCTGTCATGCTTCTAAACAGTATTTCTTCTCTTGCAAAATGAAGCACAGGCTTGCAGCGGTCCAAGTGCGCCTGAGCTACCTGCAAATACTGGGAGACCTGAAGATGTACAATGGGAAGATCTTTAATGCCACCCTGATGGTATGAGTGCTATTTATTTGTGTAATTGGGTTTTGGCATGCTGTCCTGTTGCCCTACTTTTTGTATCTCTTACAGCAGTGAACTTGGACAATACTGCAGTGTCAGAGTACAAGAAGCAGTTATAACTGTTTTTCTTCACCAGTGGGTAAAATAATGTCTTAACCGAAGCAGACCCTAAGGTTGAAGTGTTTAAATATATTTCTAAACTGATTGTTGATGTGAGCATCCTTGCACTGAGTCTTCTTACCTGTTTTTGCTTTGATGCTCATAGAAAAAGTCATGTTAGCTCTGGTGTTGCAGTTTCAGCCAGCTCCACTCAAACCACTTTTCCCTGCCCTGGGACATCATGATAAATACTAGTAAGGACCTCTGCTAGGGTAAGTCAGCATAATCCCATTTAAATTAATAACATACTAGGCAACACAATAACGATGCATATTTTTTTCTGATTGAAAGTTGTGAATCCTGCTCTTCAGATGAGCTCTGTCTAGATTTTGTATGTTGTAAAGTACTAGAGATCTGATGGCATTTAAAAAACTCTTGAAAAGATACTGGCCGCTTTTAAACCTTACTGTGAAAAAGAACTGAGCTCCTCACAAGTGGTTTTTTTTTTTTGTTTTGTTGTGGGTTTTTTTTTGCCTAAACCCACTTGGATGTGTGCTGAACTGTGGACCACAACCTATTTTTATAGAGAGCTGAGCAGTGTAGGTAGATCTGTGCCAGAGGAGGACTTCACTGAGGGGTTGCAGTAATGGCTAGATTTACACTTGAGTGCAAACTGAAATATTTCTGCCACATTGTTTGGGCATTAATTAATTCTTTTAAAGTGTCTGATCCTAACAGAAAGTGTTTACATTTCTCCCAATACCAAAAATGCCTTCCTGAAGATTCTAGCCAGCTCCAGTAGGTCTCCCTAGGTCCATCTGGCGCAGCCTGCCAGGTGACACTTCTGATAGCAACCTGCTGCTGACGTCCTCTTTGGATCTGCTAGATGGCTGGTGCATCTCTGGGGCTGCCTGCCTTTGGGGCACAGGGAAAAGCCAGAGAAGAGAATGCCTGGGAGCAGGTGACCTGACAGCCTGTAAGTAATGGGGGGGCTCCCTTTGCAGCTGGTTACAGTCCAGTATTAAAGATACCACACCAGATCGGGTGGCTGAGGAGTCCCTGCCCAGCACAGGTGGATGGGTTTCTGCTCAGATTTTGGCACAGATTTAATCTCTCCCTCTACAGCTACAGGACAGAGAATCGTATGTTGCATTGCTGGTGGGTGCCAAGTACGGGGTCAGCCAGATTATCAATAATAAGCTCGACATCATAACGAGTCTGGCAGAGTTTGCAAACATCAGCAGGGTGGAGCTTGCAGAGGAGTCTGAAAAAGTGAACATGGTGAAAATCTACCTGCAGGATCTGAAGGTAAACAGTGCTTGCATGACGGCAGCAGGGGGCTGTGTGAGGGCCAGAGAAACAAGAGGGAGCCACTCACTCCAGTTTGTGTTTGAAGTCTGGGGTTTAGCTCAGTACAAAAGGCTTAGAACATGCTCAGAAAGGAAAGCTTGTAGGAGGAATACAAAAGGCCTGAAGAGAAGGGGTTCTTCCTCTTGTCCTCAGTGAGGCACATCAAAGAAACAAAACACCAGAAAAACAATTTTTGTTCTTTCTGTATCTCCTGCAAAAACCAGAGTGGCTTGCCATGGTGGCAGGAGAGGAGAGAGGGAATGTCTGCACAAGATGGCGCAGGGGCTGGTGCAGCGCCTCGCCGCCCGCGGCCCCAGTCGGGCTGCCTTTTTCTTCCTCTGATGTGTAGCAGTGAGCTCAACAATCTCACCGTTGGCTTCTGGGTTTTTTTTCCTTTCAGGAAGCGCTGAGGAACGGTCTGGTGGCCACAGAGGTGCTGATGTGGTTTTACATCGGGGAGATCATAGGCAAGGGTGGCCTGATCGGGTACAACGTCTGAAGGCTCCTGCTCAGCCATGGTGTCTGTGGGGCTGTGCCTGTAACAGGGGTTGTGACAATAAAACTGGGAAACAAAAAGGGTTAGGGTTAGAGTGCAGCATGTTCCTGCAGATTGCAGTACAAGCAATATTGCAATGTTTGTCTGTGCTAACATTTCTAACATTCAATCCACCAAGCTGGGGAAGGGGCTGGAGAGCAAGTTCTTTGAGGAGGGGCTGAGGGAACTGGGGATGTTTAGTTTGCAGAAGAGGAGGCTGAGGGGAGACCTCATTGCTCTTTACAGCTCCCTGAAAGGAGGTTGTAGGGAGGTGGGAGTTGGCCTCTTCTCCCAAGTGAGTAAAAACAGGACCAGAGGAAATGGCCTGAAGTTGCTCCAGGAGAGGTTTAGATTGGATATCAGGAAGAATTTCTTTATTGAAAAAGTGATCAGGCACTAGAACAGCTGCCCAGGGAAGAGGTAGACTCACCACCCCGGAGGGATTTAAGAAATGTGTAGATGTGGCACTTCAGGACATGCTCTGCTGTCTGAGGTTGTAGGGGTTACTGCTTTTTTTGTGGATGTGATTTGGTGGTGTTTCTGTTAGTTTGGGGTTTTGTTGTGTATAGAGGTTTTTGGTTTGGGTTTTGTTTTGGGTTTTTTGTTTGTCTGTGATTCTGTGACTTTTTACTGTTTTCTCTCCCACCCCCCCAAAAAAAGCTGCTGACCCTACTGCTGGAATCAAACAGTGCAAAAGACCTTGTCTGCCTCATCACTGGCTATTACAGACTGTTTGTGGATGCAAATGCCTCTATATTTACTTGGGGAGACAAAAAACAGCAACTGCACCGTGTCTCGGCTGAAGAAGGTTTGAAAACCAAACAGCCATTTTTTATTTTTTTTTGCCAAAGGATGGGGAGAAAGTGAGTGGATCCTCCAGCATTAGAGGTGTTATACCCTCCTGGGAATAGCATCGTGCTAGAGCAGTAGCCCAGGGGCATGCAGTGGCCGCTGCAAATGGTTGAGACTGTCAGGCTTAGTGCAGGCAGTGCCAGGTTTCCCTCAATCCCAGAGTGTCAGGCAGAGGAAGAGCAACAGTCATTGCCAGCTTTTCTCAAAATGAGAAGGTTGAGTGCCTATCATTGAGATGGCAAACCTGTCCCTGGCCACTTGTGCTCTTTTATCCAGTTCCTGAACAATCTCCCCTCTTCTGGCATACCTTGGCCAGGAGAGAGGATTTGTGTGCCAGGCTGTCCTGTCCCCTCTGAAGATAACTCCAGCCTCAGCAGCTGCAGGCTGAGGGGTGGCTGCTGTTGTGCAGCTGCCTCTACTGCTCTGCAGAGACACCAGGCAGAGACCCAAGGGACCAGCCTCCCCTGAGGCCCTGCCAGTCAGAGTCCACCTTCACCTTGTCTGCAGAGGGCAGAGATCTCTGGGCTCTGAGTCCCTGCTGTGACAACAAGTTCATAACCCTTGCCTGGCCATTCCTCCTTGCCACCCCAAAGGACAGGCTGATGGATATGTTTAAATTGCAGGGTATGAATCTCGAACTTGCAGTGACTCTGAAGACTCCTGGGAGCTGGATTCCTCCTCAGATCATTGCTTGAACACTCCTGTAGCATACAGTAGCACTCATCCTGTGTGCAACGAGGAGGAGCTTGGAGAGCTCCATGAGCTGGAGGAGAACAGCAGGAAATCCCAAGCTGGTGGGAGTGACCGATGTGGTGGAGGTGACAATGCAACAGACAGCACATCTGAGGCTTCAGATTCAGCCAACACTGAGAGCCGAGGGTTTAAGACAAGTGGCTCCAGTGACTCCATGGATGCTCTGGAGGAAGAGGAGTTGGAAGCCTGCTCTTCCTCCAGACCGGAGTTCTTCCACTTCTGTGCACCAACAGTGCAGGAGATGAGCAGATCAGACAAGAGCTTCTTTCCCATTCATGCTGCAGGAGGTTCCAGCAAGGCAGAAGCCAGAGACTACTTCTGCTTCTTGCAGGTACCCCATGCAGAGGAGCCTGTATGTGAAGGTAGCCCCTCTGAGCCGAGAGGAGAGGACACTGATGCATCTGTGCTTGAGACCAAGCTGTCTGAGAGAAACGCTGTGGGCTACTACAGCCTGTGCTACAGCTTATCTCCTGCAGGCAGCATGGAGAGAAGCAGCAACAGTCACAGCCATCAAGGAAGTCCTTTGAAAGATGGGTCTGCCCAGGAAAAGGCACCATGTGGAGCAGAGCAGATGGCAGACACAAGTAACCTTATTTTGGAGCCACCCCCAGGCTTTGGTGACACCAGCTCTGAGGAGGAGTTCTATGATGCTGCAGACAGGCTCAGCCCTCCTGATGCCCTGGCAGGTAAACCCTCATCCACTGGCTGCAGTTCACACTGGCCTAGGGCATTGCCTATCTCCCTTCTCAGTCTTTCTGGAGAAAGATCATCTTTCAGCTCTTCATAGTTCCCTCAAGATCTTTGAAGGACCTTTGAACATCCATTCTTCATAAGCCACCCTTCAGCGAAGAAATACAGTGGAAGTGCACACAGGAATCAGAGATGCAACTTTGCAGGGAGATTTGTCATCACTTCCAAGTATTAAATCCGATTAAAAGTTTTCAAATTAATCTGGCATTCTAGAAAGTCCCAGGTTTCTGCAGGAATTCCAGAACACTGATGATCCTGAAGCCAACATGCTGGTTGAGTGTAGTTGTGTTTTCTCAGAAAGGAGAGGATTCTTGTTTCTGAAATAACACTCTCTTTCAATATTAACTTCCTAAGAATTGATTTTCTTTTGTGTAGTTAGAACAATTTTGTCTTTTGCATTCATGCACAGTAACAACACCACATTCAGGCACAAAACTGTAATCCCTGGAAATGTTTTTCACCTAAACATCCAGGTTGGGAATCTCTAATAATGTTTCTATTCCTTGTTAGTTGCTGGCAGCCTTAGGCAGTGCTCTCTGTAGCTGCTGCTGACATCCCTGAACTGGACCTGAGCGTGGTGGCTGTGCCTGCAGTCAGATCCAGTGACTGCAGCAAACAAGGGGGGAGGATGTCCAGCTCCCCTCATCACTAGGCCTGGACTGCAGCCTTTGCAGCCACAGGTCCCAACTCTTGATTTTTACTGTCATGGCTGATTCCAAGTAGGCGATTGGTCAAAACATGCCCTTGGGAGCCAGGCTTTGCTGCCAAACATTCGTGTCTGCAATTGCAGGATCTACGTGAAGATCTCTTTGTCCTACTGCATAGAGTGTGGATATTCTGCTGTCTGGGGCTAATTTCTGACCTCACATTTTTCTCTTGCCAGCAGGCTGCACTGTGACACCCCAGGAAGGTACAGACCCCTCCTGCATCCCAAAGGAACTGAGGTTTTACAGATCAAGGGAAAGCCTGGTGAGAAGGCAGGCAGCAAGGGAGGAACAAAGAAAGGAGAAGGAGCTGCTACCTGCCAAGAGCCTGAGGAAGAGGAGATCCTTCCTGAAAACCGATTACACCTCACAGGTCACTTTCCCCTTGGCCTTGCCAGGCTCTCTACAGAGCTGCTGCTCTTGGCCACCCCCACCCACACTCCCTGCTCTACCCCCAGCACAGAGCAGCAGAAGGGATGCAGAGCTGGGACTTGCTGCTACCACCCAGTCCCAGAGGGACACAGCTGGCACAAACCCATCCTCTGACTTGATGGAAATGGAGCCTGACACGATGGAAACAAAATCTGTGACGGACTCTATGGTTTCTTCCATCTCGGCTGTTCGCCTGCAGGGTGCCCAGCATGGGGAGGAGGGTGCAGGGGTTGCCATACCTGTCGAGGGTGGCCTCCAACTTGGACATGCTGTACACCCACCTCTCCTGTCCCTGGGGGAAGTTATGCCCCTTCCTGGGGGACAAAGCAGAGCTGCCCAGGGAAGTTCCTCCATGAAGGCAAGTGCTGGGTGGCTGAATGAGGAGAGCTGTGTGGCCGCTGGAGGCTGGCTGGCCCCAAGGGCATTAGAAGAGCTGGATGAGGGGACAGCAGCCCAGCAAAAGGCTGGTGATGTACCCCCACTGCAGGGACCAGAGGGGGCTGGCCCTGATAAGGAAAATGTGCTGCTGCCAACAGCTCATGGCCCCACCGGGCCTTCTCCCCATGAAGTGGTCCAGGAACAGGCACTGCTGCCCACTGCTGGGAGGCAAGCAGAGTGTGAGGCACCTGTCCCAGCTCCCTGTGGAGAAGCAGAAGCCAATTGTGACAGCTGTGCTGGAAGCAGCAGTGACCGTGCCCCGTCCCAGGCCAAAAACAGACACATGATAAGCAAGGAGGCCTTACAGAAAGTGCGCAATAAAACTCATGTGGGTTTTCCAGATGCAGCCCAGCTCTTAACAGACTGCACCCACACTTCAGGGGTTATAACTCGCCTCTCCTGGCTCTCGTTTGGGGTGAGGACAGACCTGTTATCACCCAGCCCATCTCAGGAAAGCGCAGACATCCCACTAGAGCTTTTGGCCTCTCAGAATACCAGTGGATGCCTGGGGCCTGATGCTGCCAGAAGGGAGATGCAAACATCCCCAGCTGGACCATCCTTTGAGAAAGGGTTGGTAAGCAGCCAGGGGTTGGATGAAGGAGAGCTCAGCAAAGACACAGGAGATATGGCTCACAAACAGCCACAGGCTGTTCACACTCTTCTTCCCAGAGAACAGCCTCCTGAGGTAGAGAAAGACTGTCCTCTAACTCCATCTCTAGGGCTTTCCATCTCCTCAGGCCCATTTGGCTTATGGGGGAAAAGAGCAGGAGACCCTGGGGCTTCAAAACTCTCCTTCCTCTGCTTTAACCACAAGAAGGATGAGCAGACCCCTTCTGACCCCATCATGACTAGGTCCTTGAATTTTTCCACAATGAAGAAAACATTACCACCACAACTCGGGACAGAGAAGTGCAGCTGTCCACTGTCCTATGTCAGCTGTTTCCACAGGCCTGATGACAAGGGGGAATGCGAAGCCACCATCCCCGTATGCAGCACATTTCTGCAGCCCCTCACTACCCCACCATCCAGCAGCCATAGTCTTCCTGGAACCCCTGTGGGCAATTACCCAGTCTCCATTGCTAGGGACATGGCGTGGTGGGATCCTCATGTTCGAGCCCTCAGACAGCTGAAAGACCAAGCACAGGTGAACTCCGCGGAGTTCTCCTGCTTCCTAGCCTATATCACAGAGCTTCAGGACGTTGTGGGGAAGCTCTCTGGGAACGAAGCAGCTCACCTGCAAGATCAGTGTGCAGAGCAGGGCACTGAGAGCAAGGGTGCCCTTGGCTTAGCCTCCCAAGACCTACTGTCCAGTTGCCAGGAGCTCCTTAAAACAGAGCAGCCCCTCAAAGAGCTACAGGATGCCCTGAGGGTGACATTTGGCCACCTGGTTCAGCTGGTGGTGACCTGCTTCCAGGTGACACACTGCCAGCTGTGCAGGCAGAGGCAGCAGGAGCTCAAGGCTGCACTAGTGGACGTGGTGGGCACCTACCACCAGCTTGTGCAGGCTGTTCACCAGCAGTTTTGCAGGCAGGGCTGCCCAGCTCTGGGTGCCAGTCTCCTCGCCCGCCAACACACAGCTCTTACAGCTGCCATGTTTTGTCTACTGCAACAGTTCAGGGTTCCCCAGTTGTTGTGACAGGGATGTTTGGTGGGTGATCCCAGCCATGTTCTCTCACTCCACTTACCAGGCTCTCCCCCACGTGTCCATGCGTGTCTGTTTTGCTCCACCAGGAGCTGCCCTATCTGGGGTGGCCAGGGGAGGACACTCCATCCTCCAGTCCCTTGTGTCACTCTGTGTAGAATCCCTGTGTAAAGTGCAAACTCTTAGAGTACTTAGTGGCTTATGCACCTTGCCTGGGGCTTGTCCCTCCCTTCCCAAACACCTTGCAGGTGGCCTGTCTCAAGGTGTTGTTTTAGCTGCCTTTTGTCCCCTGTGGAGAAAGACAGGAGCCTTTTGGCCTGCTTGTCCTCCTCCTTGCACTCCAGGCAAACTCTGAAGTAGAGTGATGTCAAATCCCACCCTAGCCTGACATGAAGGAACCCAGTCTGCTTTGTCCACCTTCTGTGGCTAAGGATGTGTCTGTACTTGTAATGGAAAACTCTTTGGGGATACTCTATTTAATTGCTTTTCCTTGCAAGGACTCGAGAGAAGGAAGGTGGTCCTAAGAGAAGGAGGCAACACCAGATCTTGTTCTTCTGATACAATTTCTGTGCTTCAGCCAGCTCTGCTCGTTTGCTTTACTGATGGTTGAGAACAACCCTGATTAACCCTGCCATGCTGCTTATAGATCCATGTATTCCAGAAGGAACGAATAAGCTCCAAGACATACCACTTCTACAGCTGTGGAGATGACCCATTACACTGACCTGCCTGAGGGAGGGTGAGCCCCTTTTCCCAATCTTGTTAGTAGCTCCTCTGCCCTGTGCAGTGTGTCCCTGGCCAGGTGTGGCTGTTAGTCCTCAGACATGGTCTGACTGCATGTCCCTGACAGGTCAGGGCTCCAGTGCTGGGGTCAAGAGCCTCAGGCAGTGACTGAGGACAGGGCATGGGCAGGTCCCTGGTTGCTGGTGTCTGATTTGAGGCGTTTGGGAGCCACTTGCTTTCCATGAAGGATGTCTGCAGCGGCCCAGCTGCTGCAGCCAAGGGTGCTCAGGATTCAGGGGTCAGCAGCAGAGGAGCGTTGCTGAGGTACCCCCACACTTTTTGCTCATTCTTTAATACTTCTAGAGGGAGCAAAGGGCAAGTTCTTGCAGCTGAACCCCTACTGTGGAAGATTATGGCAGGGGGGGGGGGCAGGAGTGCTGCAGCACCCCTGAGAGACCTCTCTAACCAGGAAGACACTTCACAGCCAGGCATGCAAACACCCACAGGAATTCAGCAACCTGTAGCAACCCTGCAGCTGCTGCTCTGAGTGCCTACAGGCAGGGACAGGGACCTGCCAGCTCATTTGGGTTAGCATGTGCTGCTGCTTGGGCTTTCAGTTACAAAAGATTCTCACACTGCAGGCCACAGGCAGAGCTCTGCATACAGCCCAACAGCTGAGGCCCTGGGGGACATAATAAGTAAGAACCTCCAGGCCCTGTGGGGCATCAGAGGAGCCTGTAGGGCTCAGCACAGCAACAGGCACCAGCAGACATGAACTCAGCCCATGGGGGAACAACACCCTGTGTCCAACAACTGCTGCTGCAGGCCTGTCTCACAGAAACGGGATTCCAGGTCGTGTAAAAGGAGAAAGGAAAATAACAGAAGTCTATGAGAGAGTAATTTATCTTAGAAGACCTTCAAGTCCTTCCTCTGGTAGTTGGATGTCATTGAGCATGAGGAGAGGTGGGGTTGCATCTGGTTTGCTGGGGATTTTTTTTTCAAAAATGGCTAAAGTAACATATCAGCTTCTATCCATCAAACCCACTTCCTGCTGTGGTTGTGAAATACCTCCATGCTCTTTGTGCAGGGCACAGTCAAACCCCAGGTACCCTTCCAGAAGGAACATCGGGGCTAGTGATCTTCACGTGTCAGTGCATGATAATGCAGGTGCATGGATCAGTAACTCAGGATGCAACAGGAGTTCAAGAGTAAACATTTTATTTTAGCTTAGATGCACAGAATTAGCCATAAGTTTAAACAACTCACCAAGTCTTCAACTGGTTTAAAGTTGGTAGGATATGATGCACCTGGGAACTGTTCCTCACTTAAGAATCACTTCCCATCCCGTGTTCCCCACATTGGAACAGCACTGTCCTTTTCCATGGGAATTATTTCTCACAAGTGAGCTTTGCAATTCTAACTTCACCTTGCTTATTGTTTAATCAAGATGAAAGAAATACCTTAAAGCTCTCCTTCTTGTCCCAGAACAAGTGTAGATGCAAGAGTCAGAAACACACTAGCAAGCAGAGAACTGAATTCCCATCAGTTTTTACTTAATCCCAGTGCTCCATCAACTTTTGTTTTCTGCTAAAGAGGAAAAGTAATTTCCCGCATTGTCCTGCCGAGGTAGAATGTGTCACACTCAATGAGGTTCTTAAGATTTCAGCAGAGCTGTTTTAACTATGGACATTGATGCTGGTGCCTCTCCCTGAAGTTTGGAGTTTGCCTCTCATCTGCATAGCTCCATAACCTCACCAAATAAAGTTTTCTTGTGCGTTGTCATGCTGAGGTATTTCCACTCATTTCACAGCATCTGGTAGTACATAGCCTTTTCCAGAAGAAACTCCAGCTTTCAAGGCTGCTGGCCAGCTTCGGGTCTCATAGTAAGTTGATAAGACATCAAAGACTGCCAGGAACAAGAGGAAGGAGCACCAATGAGACCAGTCTCTGCCACACACCCCCCACTGGCTGCAGAACGTTAGGGCATCACAACACTGATGCCAGAAAGGGTCAGCATGTGGCTGGTGTTCTCTTTCGTTTAACATCTGAGGAGTAAGTGTTTGAGACAGCTCACCTAGGAGCAGACTGTTTTGGAGGTGACTTTGGCAAGCTCTAGCTAGGAAAAGCAGAGGCTGTGTCAACTAAAGCAGAGTGCCCCTGGTCACTGATCTGACTAACCTGTCCTGCCCCTCTGTGTTCCTGAGGTGAGAACCAGTCATACCCAACTGTGCTTCCGCATCAGGGCTCCCCCTGGAGGACACAGTGGTCTCTGGCAACTGGGCTTGGTGCTCTGCAGAGCCCTCCACTGCTTCCCCTGCCTGGTGCTGACAGCATGGGAAGCAAAGACCTCATGCCAGAGTCAAGAGTTTATTAGAGCTGGCCTGGGACAGCAGCTCCTGTGCAGCCCCTAGCAGAGATGGGCACATTACAAAGCCACAGGCTGCCAGCAGAAGTGGAGGAGCATGGGCACATCCAGTGCTGTGACCAGCCATGGTCATAAATGACGCAGAGTCACCACAGTAACACAGCACACAACACCCACCCTGGTGTTGTGAGCCTTGCCTTGATTGAGCCTCACCCAGGAATGACAACTTCTGTCCTTTTCCCTTGCCTGAGACCTTGTATGACCTGTAGCAACAGCAGCTGCCTCACATCTCCCTACACAGTCACAGATTTGTGCGAAGCAGAAGTGACAAGTCCTGCTCCTCTTAGAATGGGCTGATGCAGAGAACCACACAAGACCTTAAAATGGGAGCAGCAGGGAGAAAACCGGGGGGGGGGGGGGACAGGAACCTCGGCTCCCAGGGCGTTCCCTGTTGCTCAGAACCAGTCTCCAGTTTGAAAACTCTGCTGCTGGAGAGCCTCCCCCTCCAGTACACAGCTCAGCCTCTCACCTTGGTTAATGGCCAGTGTCTCTGAGTGGTAGTTCTTGCTGTTGATGGCTTTCACCATGTACTCACGAATGGGAAGGCGAGCTGTTTGCAAGGACTGCTCACGTGCCCTCTGCAGAGTCAGCTTCTGCAAGAGAAGCAACAAGCTGTCCCATGTGCACCATATTGCACCTGTACAGCACCATGGCTGGGGCACAAGCAGCTACAGAACAAAACACTGGAGCTCATTTCACCCAGGATGCTGCAGTCTCTCCTCAGCCTGGTGCTGCATCTGGCAGAACCTTGAGGACAAACAGGTGGTGGCACAGTTGTGATGTCTCAGCTTGAGTCAGAAGCAACACTAGGTGATACCAACGAGATGTCTCTGCTTTCACAAGAGAATGGGGCAGATAGCACCTCTGGGTCTGACAGGCTGCTACCCACCTTGTGAATACTTTCATCCACCAGGCCTCCGAGGACATACACTTTATTTGGATCAATATCTTCAAGGACTAGAAACAAGAGAAGTACTTGCTCACCACCATACAACAGTAAAATCCTGCACTCCATCATTCCCCAAGCAAGACCACTACTTCCATGGAAAAGCTGTGCCAGAGTCACCCATCACTCTGGAGCCTCAGACTGTGCAGGAGGCTGCATGCAGCTTCCAAGCACGAGTGTCTGCCTCACCCACAGGCAGGGAACAGGGGCGATCAGACACAATCCAAAAGGACCGTGTGCCAAGGATATCGGGCACTGCTCCCTGTAACAGCTCCCTGTTCTGAGATGTTGCTGACCTGCTCCCTCTGATCCCTCCCTGCTCTGCAAATGCCTCCCCACTGTCAAGGGCACCCACTAAAACCTTCCCCCACCTGTACCAGATTCTTTATCAGAGTGAGGCACTTGTGCAAAACAAGAAAGGGATCTAGTCCCCAGGAACACACAGCTAGTTAGGAAGGGAGGAAGAGGAGAAAATAAACACAGCAGCAAATTAAGCAATAATTAAGCAATGTTCTGGCTCCTGCATTATTTCAGAGAAAGATGCAATTTAGATTGTATTCACAGGTTTTTAATTAAGTCTGTTGCAGATCACACACAGCCCTGACTCAAAAACACACTCCCTGTCCAAATAGACTGAGATATGAGTAGATTTAGCATCAGACTTAATTGCACAGATTCTTTTCAAAAATAAAAGGTTCAAAGTCAGTCTTCTGCCTCAGTTCCCCTATGCCTAAAGCAAGTAAAATATTTACCATTTTCAGCGTCAGGAGTGAGATAAACAATTTTATCTAAAGGAAACAGGTCCAGGTAACTTTCTTGAGTCGTATCCATCTGAAAAATGCAAGTCAGGAAGAGAAGCAGCCCATTAACGCAAACTCTTATCTGCCAGAACAAAATCCACTCTGACACATAAGTATACTCGAACTGACACTACTGCCCCAGGTATCTGAACTCCTACCACTGGACTGTTTTTGTTTTTTTTTAATTTGGAAAATGTTTCTGCATGGGTACTGAACAACGTATAACTCAAAACCCATTAAATTATCTTCAAAATCACTAGACATGGTTTGAGAAAGGGAGACCAGCAATAATCGCCTCATTTTAAAGGAGGTGGCAATTCCTGAGATTCAGGAATCTCCATTTCAGGTGATTTTCTACCCTCACTGTCAGAAGGTGCAGCCCCACGGGTGCTGTAACACAGTGCTCCATGTCACTGTGTGACCTGTACATGTGGGTTTTGTGCTCAAGTCAGACTAAGCTCGGTACAAATCTCAAGACACCAACGTGTGACCTGCCCAAAGCCTGAGCAAGCTTGTGTCTGCCTGTCCCAGCATCACAAGTCTCTTTGCAAAAGCATGTGGAGAAGGAATTCTCCTGCAGGCAGGAGGAATATGAGCTGTCACTGGAAGGACTTGCACGTCACTCTAATACCTATCAGTTCTTGTCTTCTGCCAAAGGGCAAGAAGATTTGAGCTTACCCACTGTCACTGAACTGCATTCCCATCATCCAAGACAACCTCAGCCTGTCTTGGAGCAACACTGAGGGCTGTGGCATGCTGTGAGCCTTGAAAGCACGGAGGTCAGAGACCCTTACCAAATAATTGGAGAAGCCATCGTTCATGCGAAAACACTCCTCGTAGATCAACGAGCCCACCACAAACTCTGTCAGACAGAGCCAAAACGGCTTCTTGGCCCGTTTGTTTGCCCCGTAGAGTCTCCTGATCTGCGAGGCGAGGCGGCTTGTTTCCTTCAGCAAGTAACAAGGACAGTGACCCAGAAGTCTCGTGGCCGGGAGTAACATGGCCCCACTCAGGGCCTGCAGACACCCGTGCTGCCCTTGTCACCAGCGGCCGGCTGAGGTTCGGGAAAGGCTGTTCCTCGAGGAAACCCGGTGGGGTGGGTGCAGGCAGCCAGCACTGAGACCAGGCAGCCATGGGCAGGCCCGGGGGACAGGCAGGGACGGCCGGGGACAGCAATCCCCAAGGGGCTAAGCCCCAGAGAACTGCTGTGTGCATCCTCATACACACCGGCTGAGCTGGAGGGTTATTTTAGAGCTTTCCAGAACAGAACAAACCGATGACCTGCCTCAAACACTTCCTGTTCCCCTCTGCTCCCTCCCTGCAGGCAGCACCCCCAGGAGCAGCACAGGGCAGGTCCCTTCCCGAGCCGGAGCAGAGCGGGGCAGGCGGATGAGAACGCTCCCACCAGACCGTGTCGGGGCACGGCCCAGGTCTCCGACATGCCCGCGGAGCAGCGCCGCGGGTAGCGGCAGCCCCGGCGCCGAGG